CAGCTACTCGTCGAAAGGGCGTTTCATATCTACACGTACTTTATGATGGCTCTATGGACACACGAACATAGTTCATTTTTGAAATTACAAAAATTTAAACTATTTCAGACAGCTGAAGTTCCAATCAGCACGATCAATCCATCCCGGTTAAACCTGAAGCTCTTCCTGTCGTGTGTAATGGTGGGCACCTCCCAGAATAGGGATACTATCGCAAATCGGAAACTGATTCAGTGTTTCAGAATTCGTTTATTTCTGAGCTGGTGGACTTTTTTTAAAAAAAAGTAATGCAATCCTTGAACGGAAACATAGCCCACTCTTGTCTTCAAAACTACTTTTCAAGTCCTCTTTGGCGGGAACGTACCTCGAAATCAGAAATAAAATTTAACTAAAATTCGTCAAACGATTATTCAGTTAATAGATTCGTACGGACAGACGGACGAAAGGAAGACCCCAAATTTTAAGAACTCTCCGAAATAACGAGTCGATTAACTGTGATGAATCTCGGCAAAGAACCCGCTGACACGACAAAACAGCGTATGATTTCCAAACAATGGCGTGTTCTTACTTTGATTCAGATAATTCTGATGTTCGGGACGAGACAACAGACAGCACACACAAGCGAAACGGGTGTCTGAGTCCTCCCTTGGCACTTTTAAACCAAGTTTGAGTAAAAAAAATAAGACGATAAACGAGACATAAAATGTACAAATGACTTTCCCAAAAAGAGAGAGAGCTATGCCCCATTTCAGGATACAAAAAAAAAACTTTTTTAAATATGTATTTTTTATTTTACACGCCCCAAATAATCTTAATGTTCATTTAGTGCAGATAAAATTTGCTTCTCTTGTGGTAAGACTCTTCATTTTATTACTTTGTAGGTTGAGTGACTGACTGACTGGCTGACTGACTTGCTGACTGACTGACTGACTGACTGGTTGACTCTAGTTCGATTATTCAACAACACTGCTTCAAATGCAGAACCTAACCTAACCTGTGATCCTAACTAAATCAAATATCGAGCTAAACGGTCACAAACAATAAACTAGGATGTGGAGACAGACGATCGTGGTCTATTTCAAAGTACTATCTCAACATTCGCCTGTAAAGACTAAGGAAAACTAAGAAATATCTCAGCCAGAAAAAAAAACACAACCGACTCAGAATTCGAAACAAATACCTTCAATAATACTAGCCACATCTTATCTTTAATATCTATTTTAATATTATCCTCCTATCTACGCCTATATCTTCAGGTTGCTGCTCTCATCTCTTCAATGCGTGCTACACGCCCCAACCAGCTCATAATAAAAGTTACATACACTGTATGCCTATACCCAGGGTTCGTATCTCCTAAGTATTCAACAAGCCACTGTACGAATATTTTCCTGTCTTAAATTACAGGTACACCTCAAATAAACCGAATATTATAATTCCACTCACGATCATTATCGTCATTATTATCACGGCTATTATTTTGTTCCTCGTAATTTATTAGTGTTTTACATTTATACTAGTGTTTACCTAGGTAGATTATTTCCTTTTATCAAATTTCTATCTTTGTATTAGTGTTCGCCTGTCATAGGCTCTTTGCTGTTGGCAAACACTTAACAAAGTAATTTAACTATTATTAGTATTATTTAGTATTATTTATTTTATTTAGAATTATTAAATTGAATTATATTACTTAGGTATAGTATTTAGCCCATTTATTTGTGAAATATGATTCAATAAATGAATCTAATTATTATTATTATTAATATGGTACATTTATATATTTAGCTTCATTTGTTTTACTTTTATTATTATTATTGAAATAAATTAATTACTTATTATATTTTATCCTGTTCTCTGGTTTAGTGCTTGGCTGTTGTCAAACACTTAAATAAATGAATTGAATTATTGTCACTGGTAGTATCAGGAGGAAAATCACGTACATCCAGACAGTCCGAAACTGAGTAAGCCTACATGTGTATCATCGGAACAAAAAAATTTTCCATCGAATTGTCCGCGAACGTTTTCAAAACTCGTTTTTCCCCTCCTTCACATCTAATCGGCACCAAAGGCTTTGTGAATTCTGTATGAGTCCCTAGGACGCAACCCGCCCACTTCACACAACGCGTAAGAAAATAAACAGAAATATCGTAGGCCACAGTGCCGAGCCGTGGGAAATGCAGACAAACTCTGTTTAGCTTAACAATTGACATATTCCATACTGAACTAAACACTTGCCTCCGTTAAATGTAGCGGTTCCCATGGCAATACAACAATTAGCATCTGCTTCACCTCCAGGAACAACCCTGTATATATATGATCGTAACTATCCTCTTAAACTTTCTGAAATTACAAATGTAGTTCTCTTTTTATGTACTTGAGAACAAGACCGTGTACAAGGCAAACTTCGCGATTCGAACACTTAGAGGCCCGTCTTATGCAGAGGTTTGTTGATTCTGTGGGCTCAACTAAGCGCTACTAATATTTGTATACAAACCGCATTACGTCCACAAAAGACGTTTAACGATACGTATTTCTAAAAATATTTGTTCGGTACATCTCAACACTGATATTAAGACTAGTGTTGACTTATAAAGGACATTAACATTAGATGTAAACGCCTCCGAAACGTCGGTATATTCTTCACGAAATCTATGTCTGATATCAATTTCCCCTAACTTTAAAACCGCGAAGACTGTCTCAAGAAAACAATGGAACGCGTCATTATACATGACGTCACAAAATGGAGTTCACCCCTGAGCTCGGTAGCCGCGATCGATAATTACAGAGTATCGATAAAGCGGAGTCGATAATTATAAGAGACAGACAGGGTGGTCTGCCGGAGAGTATTTCTGCCAGTTAATTGCTTTCACACGGTTAGCAAATAGCGTAAAATTGAAGTACTTACAAAATAAGATACAAGGCTGTAATTGATACCAAGGACCTTTCGATACGCTCCCATACGTGAGAACAAAAAAACTGCACGACTTCAGATACAATTAGAGCGTCCTCAGCGGCAAGAAACTTGGTCTCTCCCACTCAAATACAAGAAGACATCTTTCTTCATGGCCCCAAAATTTCCTAAATTACCACAGCTGTACACGGTAGATTCCGGGTTAACCGGGATCTACTGTACTACGATACGGAAATAAATTTTTGAGGTTAAAATCGTCCGCGACTACTTTCAAGAGTAAAATAATCACGTGGATAACACTAAACTACATCCATCTCTGGTTTTCTAGACCTGACAATAAACTTCGCTATTAATACAGAAACACGAAGCGATTTGACCTAAACACGACGGGTATATAACGGCGTTAAAAAAAAAGGTTGTTGACTCGGTCATGAATATGTGATTCTGTTACAGAATGTAAAGTCTTTTTTGAGTTATTCTTACGGCATCACAGAGTACGAAATCCTGGTCTAAGAACATGTGCTGAATATACCTCATTTGTTTACGAAAGTGAATCACGCAATTGATAACTCGTGTCACGTACACAAAAAGAGTAGCCTATAGGATGTAGGCACTGCATTTCCTTTGTTTTCAGACTCGCATACGACGAACCAAGTACTGTTCTGAACACCTGAAACGTCGATAGGATGCTGGTATTCCCTGAATTTAATCTCCTCTTGATTTCGTCATGAATGTCATTCTTGGATTTTCTTGATGGAATATATTCTAAAGCAACATTTAAAGACAGCGGTGATAGAACATCTCCCTGTTCCAGGCCACTCTGAATCCGAAATTTATCATACAAATGTTTACCTACACAAATGTTGCTAGAGGTTTCACTTAAACACATTTTAATTAGGCTAACTAGCTTCTTAGGTACAAAAAATTCAAGCAAAATATTGTAAAGAGCTTTGGGGAAAAAAACATTCACTAAATCAAAAAAAATTAGCATGCTTTATCGTGAGGACAATCATACTACACAGTACTACAAAAATACTTCAGAATTTAATTTCCTTATTTCCATTCCATCGTGTCATATTAAGTTATTTTTGTAAACATTCAAAAGAACACAAAAAATAATTATCATCCAAAATAAATTTGTAATCAGTTGTATAAAAGATTTTTTTGTAGAGAATTACTTGTAAAAAATTAATAAACTCTTCTTTGCAAGTGAATTCCTATTGTCATCACTGACTTCCATCTTTAAAAAATATAGAGAAGTTTAAAGCAAATTGTGATACACAAAGCTAAAACACAAAAAAATAAATATGACCTACATATGCCAACTGCGAACCTCAACAGTAATCAGAAAGGTGTGTACACAACACACAGGAATCAAAATATTCAGTGTTCTTCTACACAACATTAAACTTTTAAATCATTACATTAAAGTATTTGAAATAATACTGAAAGACTATCATAACATAAAGAAGTTTAAGACAGAATTAAAAGAGTATCTCCTATCTCACTCCTACTCCATATAAAATTTTACCTCAACCAAAAATTCTCAGCTATTACAAATACATGTCAGAAACATTGGGTATGTGCGAATGGCGACGAAGTACAATGAATTATTCTAGGGCAGCCAGCCGTGTCGTGTTGAATCGAGAAAACACCATCGGAGATGGGATTTCCTACAGCTTCAGTATAATGAGGACAGGGATTAAGGCGGTTCTCAAAACACTGATGCTTTCTCCATTCAAACACCTGACACGACTGGTAGCAAAAGAAATAAATTCTTAGCCTAATCCCCAAATTTTAATCTATAAAATTCTTAAATATGATTACATCTGTGAAGAAAGCACTTCTCTGACATTTACTTGGATGTTTAGTAAATATTCCCACATGTAATTGCTGTAACAAATATTTCTTATTATGTACTGTCCATATTGTGATGTGTTGTACATCTTAGCTTTGTAAAGAATCTATTAGACATTCTACTCCGGTCTATTCTCGATTGAATTTCTGATGTGTATAAGAGCTCAAAAATTATGATAGTCTTTCAAAACTACTCTACTAAACAAAAATCCAGAACTCTCCACCATGTGTCCCTTACCTCAACCAAGTCCACTCCACAGCAAAAACCAACTAGCTAGATGACGGCACTCAATGGACGAAGTTGATTTAATTTCATAGATCCAGCTGATGGCACACATGTCTCACTTTATAAAATTCACACTTTATCACATTAAAATATATTAATTTCACAAGTCAAATTATGCTTACAAAACATGAGGCTATTTTCCTCTACGTCACTCTTGCGCGCACAGAATCACGGGAAATGCAAATTCGCTTCCGGTTTGATGGAATCGATATATATATCGATGGTCAGAGATCAAAAATTTCTCCTTACAAGCATTCAGCTGTTGGGTGCGTTCTCGAACGAAACTGCAAAAAATGCATTTTTGCCATACTGTCTGTTATCTGTCCGAATGTAACACCTCGAGAATAATGGACACCACAATGACCATACTATGCTGATGAACCTCGCTGAGTGATAGCCTTCAGTTATGAAGAGAAAAATTCCCACGCCCATAGCAGGATTTGAACCCCTGCCAGGATTCGTAAAATAGTTTTGTTTATAACCACTTGTTAATGTATGGATTCATGAATGTTGTTGTTTTTCTAGGGTGACTTATCTCTCTAAATAATCCAAGAATCTGTTCGGAGAGATGGAGGAAAATCAAGAATTGACTCAAGATATCCAGGAGCAGGGTTTGGGTGAGAGCATGTCAGACACGCGTCTTGTGATTTTACACTCATTCCTCTGACACGAACGTGTCAACTATTGCTCATTACATCGTGCCACTTAACTTCTGTGAACTACTAGGTTAACATCATGTCTTCAGATAATACCCTGTTCGTGTTCCATTGTCACATGACTCGCTAATATGCACGCGGAAGAACACACTTCACAAGAGAACAAAGTAGTACCATGCAGTAAAGAGACCGCTGGATAATACAGAATGTACCTTGTATCTTAGGAAGAGTAGCGTGTTGAATACCAACCACTGATCCGACGTTGATTTATTGCTAATCAGACAACGGGATTAGGATGAGGAATGTTGGGAGAAAAAAAAGATTGATAACCCCCGCCCCGAACATAAATTATGGCGTAAGTACGTCCTCTATCCCTTTCTTCAAACATATTTTGTGTCGTATAAAAATATTCTGGGCCCTCATTCCTGAAAACAAGCCAATGTCTACAGCCTTTGCTGTACACTGAGAGGTTATATACATTAACTAAGAAGTAACATGTAGCCTCCCTTGACCTTGAATCTAAAGCAGGCATATCTTAACAAATATGATCCGTTTTACTATTATCCTCCCATCTTCGTCTTCCAAGAGGTCTCTTTGATTTCGAGTTTTCGCACTTCGATATCATGTGCGTTATTTCTCGTAGGAATGCTACATTCCCAGACCATCTCATCCTGGTTTTGATCGCCCTAATATTATTTTACAGATCACAAATTATGAAGATCCCCATTATAAAACTTTTCCCCCTTGTCATATTACTTCCAAATAGACTCCTCTCAGAAGTCACAAACTAAACACAGAGAATTATTTTACATCATATAATTTGAAAAAGAAAAACAGGTTATGACGCCAGTCTCATTATCCAGTAGCTGCAAGACGTTGGCGATGTCTTGCGACAGATCAGGATCGAGTATTTGTTTAGACAGGCCAGTGCTACAGCATGCTAATAGCGCAAGGTGGTCCCATACATCATTAAATTAATTAATCTGGCAGGCGGACAACCTAGAGAGGACCTGTCATGTATCAAAACAACCACGACAACGATGTCCCTGCCAGCTGTAAATTGATTATCATCATCACGACTGTCTGGCTAGGGGCACCATGTACACACACCTGTAATGAGAAACTACGAGAACTCGATTTGAACATTGCCCCAGCAACAAAAGCGTGGGCATGATTCTAAACATGTGTTTGTAATCAAGTCTCTCTTGCAGTTGTGATGGCATCAGGTTGGCATGCTAAAAATTGAAGATGGCTGTCATCTTGGATGTTGCGCCTCGTAGTCTGATACGTAATGACCACCTCCATCATCAGAATTCTGAATAAGAGGCCATATCACCATGATGATAGGGGCAGTAAGCTCCTCTGAAACATCGGTCAATATCTACCAGACTTCATACATGGTGCAGCATCCCAAAGGACAGCAATCTTCATAAGCATCATGTTTGAGAACCTTAAATCTCACCCAACCCTCTGTAATTTACTAAACGATGAACAAATTTGAATATCGAATGAGGCCAGAGGATAAAAATTTCAAAAAGGTGTACTCTTTCGATTACACCGATGTTCCAAAGGTGTGTTTTGAGCCACATCACAGGCGGTTACGCCGGCAGGTCGCTTTGCTGACAACGCAGTTCAAAGGAATCGTGGGACTTACATCACTCTCGCTCAAAAGGAATGTTATCAAAGGCAATTTAACCAAGTCACTGTTTTAAGGCAACAATTACATCTTATAATTGTTGTGTAACACAGTTTCAACAACGAACTCTGTTCCCACTGCATTCCAGGTTGCGGGTTTAGTTCTTATGAAAAATGCAACAGACGCTGAACAGATCACACGGTATTCTTTGCTCATGCTAGACGGACACTTACCTCAAGAAATGTGTTGTACAGTTACTGCCTTTTTTAATTTTCTTAATTCCTTTCGTACATTTACATCCATTTGAAGTGCTTCTAAAAAATCTGCCTAATGGTTAAAAATAATGTATACAATTTTCATTGTAAATATGCTCATGTACACACAAATAAACAGATCATAATTAAAACAAAACAAAAATCAACCCAAAGAAAGAGGGAATGATTTAATATCGTGACACCTCACCCTCTTTCACCCTTGTACAGATACAGAACAATTTCATGTCTGGATGCAGTACGCTGACTTTCACTACTTTCAGCGATATTGCAAAGACCACACCCATCTCACCCACGGCTTTTTCAAACTACCTAATTTGAAGATATGAATCAAAAACATTTTTAAAAACTGTTTACAGGAAACAAAATATATATTGTTCAAAACACGCCAAATATCTCCTGTCAGCGCAAGCAAACATGAAAACAATAAACTTTCACATGATACAGATAAGAAAAAAGTAAGAACCGGTTAACTCCTCGAAACTTAGTCCTTAAGAAGCTAATAGCTAGTTCAGAAATTTCCCACTTTTCATGTATCCAAAGATTCATTACCACAGTCACAAGAACGCATCACCGGTCGTCATCAATGTTAAATTAAATTCTGTGGTTTCAGAATTTAGGAACAAAATTTACCGCGCTGTTAAATTCTGTAGCCAAAGATGGAACTTCTACATCTTATAGAGCACATCAGTTTATATTTCTACTGTATCACGGATGAAAGTCACAAAATCTGAAGGGGAGAGACCACTTGGTAATCTTAGGCATAGATGGGAAGATGTCGACTAGTACCATCTCGCTCAGGATGTTTAATCGTGGCAAATGCTTGTATTCACAGTAATAACCTATAACAGCTGGGATATTTCGTGACTAGTTGACTGTTCTATTATTAGCTTCTCGATAAAAGCTCTCCTCTACGCAGTGAGATTAGAAAATAAAAATCACCCTTACAGAAAATTTTAATTTGGTAGGAGTTTGTATATTAAGAACGTTGAAGTTTCCATCACGTGATTCCGACGCTTCACAAGAAGAGCGCGCAAAGCGTACCAAAACCCACTTGAAACTCTCTCCACACAAGTTTCCAGCATCTCCCTTCTGCTCACACTGCAGCGAGTGGAAATAAATTCAGCTTTACGCTGCAGATATTTAATGCTAAAAACAACTGCAAAGGAGAACTGCGTCTGCATAAGAAGTCATACCGACTTCTCTATAACGTGGATGTAGAAATGTGGATTATCAACTACCTGGAGTAACTTGAAGTCCCCGTAGATTGTATGCTTGCACTCTGTACCAAAGGTCTCCCGTAGCATCTCCCAGAATACCGCCAGTCTATGAGGATAATACGACAATCTGAACTGACTGAAAGACAAAACACAGTTTGGTTAACACCGCTGTAAGTCAACAGTTTCCAAACTTCACCATTTCTTACTTGAAAACTAATCACTGCCATTGCAATATCTGACACAGCTTATCAGTCTAAAATTTTTGTATGACATTACGGGGGGCAACCCTTAATTCGCTTTGCAGATGTTGGTTTTAGAGCCTCATCCGCTGTTTTGATTTCGAGAACTAAATTTTTTCGATCAGCAGCTCACAAATACGGGTATTGGCAAATTTAAACGACGATTAACACCATACTGGTAGTCGAGTGTGTGAATGCATTATGAAAATCCCTAACCTGTATTTTTACTTCAAAAAACAACAAATAAAGTCTATTACCATAAAACAAATAAAGATAGAATGGCTATTTAGTAATTTACAGAATCTATGACACAAGCCTGTTTTTAAAGAAAACCATTACGGATTTACAGGCCCAAAAAAATATACAACATACACAACGCAACTAATTCCTCTTTACGAATCATCATTCTTTATTGCCAGCATAATACAAAAAGACAATTACCTCACAGATTCTTCACCACATTTTCCATCAATGGTTGATAAATTCTTGTCATTATTCGATGCAACGTCAATCACATAGTCCATGGTGACAATCCTGGGTTCGCCGTTCACATAAAGAACAGAAGTTTTGATATCCGTACTGTGCTGACTCTGTAATCATATATTGCAATATAACACGACAGGTTCCGTTAAGTCCACTAATCCTAGGAACTGAGATTAGCTTTATCCAACAGACCCACCAAATTAGGCTTTATATTTTCACCTAATGGCTAAAGCACAGACAGCTTCCAAAATGTTGTTTATTAACTAATATACAAAGGAAAATATCCAAAGGCTATTTTTACTTACATTATAATAAATACATTTTGAAGGGGTGTACCCACTGTCCAATATATGGTCGTAGTTTCGATGGTCAATCAGAAGCAAACCTCCAGGTTTTACACACCGTTCAAAGTTCTTCAAAGCCAGTCTGTAATAAGAGTACTTATATGTACCATCGTCCCCCTCGATGGACTAGTGGTTAGAGCGCTCGCCACTAGACCCACGGTTCGCAGGTTAAAACCTGGCCAGAGTCGATGGATTTTTAAGGGTGATAAAAATCCGTAGCACAACCTCCTTCAGAGGGGAAGTAAAGCCGGCAGTCCCATGTCGTAGATTTACGGCATGTAAAAGAACCTTACGAGCATGAACGAGATGTTTCGTAAGCAAAATTCAGCTGCCATTTCTCACCCAAGTCTCTCCTGATTCTCTACTAAATGGATCTAGCAGACAAACCAGGATCGATTAGAAACTGTGCATAGGCAGTAGGCTCGTCACTCGCTACTCATAAAATGCACACTTCAAAGACATAGAAACCTCCCACAAGGGAAAATGTATGAATGAGAGCTTAAAAAAAATTTTGTAAACATTTTTAATCTCTACAAATACAGAAAACATAATTGAAAATAATGTTTTCATATGTGTGTATTGCTACTTTTAGGTGGACTCAAATATTTTAATTCTTAATGAGTTAACGCAGTCATAACCACCGCTGTGTGACCAAATGGGCCATCTAATGCTGCAACGTGACTATAAAGATGTACCTTTGATCTTGACAATCGCCCGTTGTGTCGGGCATGTGTGAAAATGAGTTACCAAGACAGATGACTGCATCAAAACCATTGCCAAGAATTTCAGCAATGTCATCAGGCAGCGTCAACCAATTAGCCTCCTCAATCACTGTCGGACAGAAAGAACACAAAACTCACTAAGAAGACGACTGTCTTCTGGAATTTTACGCCACGTAATCTGGTAGAAGTTTACTGACATTTCAGAGGTAGTTGCTGCCTTTATCATCAAACTCACTGAATTCTAAAACACACAAAATCTCACTCACCCCAATTATCAAACGCTTCTTCCTTTCTCCTATTCCAGCGAGCTTTCAACGCATACTTCAACATTTTATCGGAAGCATCAACAGAAGTCACTTTGAAACCTTCTTCCAACAACATTATGGAATCAATTCTGGAAGACACACACACCAAGCAGAATATTAATTTTCGGTTCCCAACTGCAATATTTGTGCTTTTAAATCTTTGTTCGTACAAATCTTCTGTTTGCAAACTCAATAGTGTCTTTTACACACTGTGCATTATCTTTATGCCTTGTATTTCATTAATCCTTTGATTGCTAAATATTTCTGAACTTTATGCCTTGTATTTCATTAATCCTTCGATTGCTAAATATTTCTTAGCTGACTGACTGCTGTGCGTTACAAGAAACACGTAAATACTTTGAAATGTTTGTCAAAATATGATGAAGTACGTGTAATTTCTCACTGACGGACCTACAAAATGAAAATTTTATAAATTACAGACGTAAAGTGACAAGCTGCTGTCTGCACTAACCTGGAATATCAAAGTCTTAAATACAAAACAGATTAAAAAGTTTTTCGCGTACAAATTATAAATCTCAAGACTTTTTGTTGTTATTCCTTTAACTACTTTTGATGCATTTGATAAAGATCAATACAGCTTTCACATAAAGTAAAGGTTTTGTGTATCAAATAGAAGTTTTCATAACAATTTGTAATGTGTAAATCTCACACACTAAACTTAAATTCAATAAGTTGTTTAATAGATTAAACTGATGGACACGATCCTCCCATTACACATTCAATTTGTAGACCGAGCGCAAAATACACATGAAAAGGAGTACTGATGTCAAAAGTGTCGTGGAACTGAATGTATATTTTTGCATAAATTCCATATTCTTCAATGCAACGCCATTTTATGCAGACCGTCATTACAGAGATAGTCATTTGAGAAAATTAATAAAATGTCACGAGTCAGAATCGGTAACTCACCCCGTTCCGCAAGCAACGTCCAATACCGTTCGGCACCTCTTGGCCCGAAGCAGACCCACCAGAAATTTTTGATAGTGTTGTGTCCTCAAATTCTTATCCCCAATAAAGACCTCCCACACACGGGCTGCCTTTCCATCAGCATACTGGTCCCGCACTCCTTCAGCTGCTGTGCCCAGCGATCGAGTACGGAACACACTGTCCACCATTGACTTAAAAACGAATTACAGCATAATTAGTGGTGTAAAATTCCATCTCTTGTATTCTTGTAGTGCACATGAGAAACTGTATTGAAGTACCATACTTTATCTGCATAAAACGAATACTTTTTATGGGGGCCACTAGAACCCTTCCTCTTGATTCACCTTCAATTTGTATTAAATTAATATTTGTAAATTGTCAGAACTCTTGCACCACTAACAGTGCAAGTGACTTGATGATTGGTTATTGGCAGCATTTGCCTGGAGGAAATAAAATATCCAACTTTAATAATTCAGTGTTATGAACCATCAGATATTACATACATCTAAAACAGAATAATTAGTGAATTTTATAATGTAATGGACTTAGACTTCAAAACACCCAACTTTATATAAAATCAAAGTAAAACAATTTATACTTACTCTTCAAGATGTGTCTTGTTTTGAGAGCAGAGATGACTGCCGTTTCTTAGCAGCAGAAATCATTCTGCTGTTAATATATAGCCTATTTCCTAAAAGTTGACATGTCATTGGATGATGAAACAGTAATCTGCTGCGCTTAGTGTATGAGAATAAAAAATATTAATATAGATATAACAACGAGCACCAATCTGATAAGTCTTAGAGCTATCGTCTGATCACTCACAAAACAACATATTAATCAGCTGGAAAGACAAATTATATTTTCACAGATGAATACAAGTTACATAACAGAACTCAAGTTAAAAGTCAAACGCGTAATTACAACACTTCTTTTTCTTGGTGTACACAGTCTTCCGTTGATAAGAATAAAAACATTCAATTCAATACACTCTTAACAAACACATCAACAAAGAAAATATACAGAGATGTAATTTAATCTTACAAATAGTTGTCAGTCTGACCGCAAGATACTGAGTGGTGCTAATGTTGGTACTACCTCAGAAGTTTGTCTCTCTGCCACGCTGTTCTTACCGAATGCAATATACTGAAAAGTCAGAGGTTGGTGTGGTGTTAAATGCCACAACGCTCATACTAAATTTCATGGAAACTGGCCATTTGGTTCCGAAGTTGAATGTAGCACGAAACAGATATTTAGATAACAGAATTTAAATCCAAGTTGGCCATATACAGAGTAATAATATGTATAGTTTTTTTAAAAGTATAAATGCAAAACCCACATTATCTGATATGTCCCCCAGCCCCTCTACTTCTACTTCTTCTTATCTTTGGAGTGTGTGTTTACTGTTTGGCCTAATGGTGACCTTCTGAACCAAATTCTTGATTTAACATTGCCCTGGCAAACATCCAAACATCAAGGCCACCAAGGAATACTGTTGCAATATCTGCTGAATTACGAAGCACTAAAACTTGAGGCCGTCCTTTCACACACTAGAACATCTTCCATAAAAATAACAAATGTACCTACGCAAGAAAATGTCTACGACTCTTTCACTGAAAAATCTTGATTTTATAGTACTAAGTAATACAACATACAAAAACACAAGGATTAGCTAATGTTTATTATGAACTGTCAGTAATTAGTTGTTTCATGAGTTGTGGTACCAATTACGAGCTTCAGGTAAATAGTAAATGTTTAAGCTCAGATTATAAGTTATCATCAATACACCCATCTTTACAGACATCCTGTATCAGATATTCTCGCCCTTCAGCGCGGTGCGTCACAAAAATTGCGCCTTCAAACACTGAAGCAAGAACGTAGTATTCCAAATGACCTCTTGATTTTGTTCTGATGATGCACGGTTTAACCTTTATCATATGAGATTAGGAGATATTAATCCGCATATTACACAGCTGTTGGCCGGACTTTTTCAGTGTGGTTAAGGATTTGGTGGTATGCCAGTCGGATCACAAATAAGCTGCATCAAATGGATGATAAAGATTAAGCGATATCATATTCAGACTAAACAACTATTATTAGAACGTATAAGTCAAGACAAACAATTTTTGTCACGTGCATAAAAACCGTATTTCATGTGGCATCGCATGGGCACAGGGAGAACGACGGAGACAGTTCAAGTTCACTTTTAAATAAGAACAACCGAAGTGTTTCACTGCAATTTACTATGATCACAATGCATATAACAGGAAATATTGACATATTTACATTTACGATTCTAAGCAGAATTAAACAATTTTTCTGGCACTATAAGAGAATAAAAGCAAGATTTCAGAATTCTTTGGCTAGATGTAGGTAATGCAGATTGTTATTCTGCTGATAAAACACAGTGACACATTTGTGCGAACAGTAATCTTACCAAATCAACCTAAATTAAAATATAAAGGGGAAAAAAAAAATTCACAACCTTCCTGTATTGGAAAGCGCCCGCATTTCTTCTTTATTTTCCATAATGCATTTTTCCAAATAATTTTTTTTGCCACTGATAAAACATTATCCTCAAAAGAGAACTTCCTAAATGAATTTCATCACCCCTGTCAGTCAGTGTTTAAGAATTACCATTATCACATTTCAGTTCACGCAATTCAATTTGACAAAGTGCACTCATATGTAACGACTTAAAATTAACGATAATGTAATATAATACAAATTCACAAAGCAAAGTGCTAATGCACCAACATTCAAACATCATGATAGAATTAATCACGCTAACTATAAAAACAATTATACTTTAAGAAGGGTAAGAAAGAATAATACAAAATGTTTTCTAAAATAAAAAGTCTTCGATAAAAAAACACTAAAATTTTCCCACACATGCACCACACACAAGTTACAACCTATAACAAATTAATATATATATATATAAAACAGCAATACTTTGATTTCTATGCATGTCCTCTACTTAAAAATACTCACTCTGAAATTATGAAACGCCACAACACATTACATTGATAATGTTTCAATCAAGAGACTCTACGGCAAACTTATCAGCCAGTAAGACTGCGGAAATTAATATTTAGTGGTGGTCATCTGTGGAAATTATCACTAGTACAGCACAAAAATTTTTAATCGACGGTGAAACGGTATTCTGTCGAATTTTAAGCATAGTCCATGTCAATAAAACAGTATTACCAATTACAGTATCACAGAGATTTGACAATGGATTTACCTGCCGGATAACAGATTCTGCTCAAGCTATCACCAATGGCTCGTCGTCAGAGAAACCACGGATGATGGGAGAATCTTCTTCATCTGCGACAGAGAAATAAACAGACGCTGCTGATAAACCATTTTGCAGCTGGGATAAACTGTATTTTACGGCTACAGCTTGCTGCAGTTCAAAATACCAACACTTTGGTCGCAGTTAAAGACGGTCACATCCACTTCAGCATACGTGATTTCTACATTCTCTGTCAACTGTTTTCTTATCTTTATAACAGTGCGTTTTCTTGGTCTGAAATGCGGACCTTATGCTAAGAAGCAATAGAGGTTACAGAATATAATTAATAATAATAATATTAATATAGTAAATGAGGGGTCCGCAGTGGCAGCGCGGTCAGAGGCGGGGACCATGGGTTCGAATCCCACTCAAGGCATGGATGTCTGTCTGCGTTTTTCTGTGTACAGGTAGAGGCCTTGCGACGGGCCAATGCCTCGTCCTACCGAATGTCCATAGATCAAGCCAACTAAAAAAAGTTGGGGACTAGTAAAAGGGTACCAGAAAATGTATAAACATTGTTAGACCGGAAAAAGAAGAAGAGAATTTAGTAAATGAATATAATTAAAACTGAAGTGTTACATACTATAATAAAAAGGGGATCATTTGTCACCAATAAACCCCACACACAGAGAATCTGCATTTTCTGAGAAGGATAGGTTAAATAAAGATTGATATTTCCTAAGATGGGAATTTCTCATAAACCCTCAAATAAATTATGCATCAGAAGTTTCTTCTTGCCACAAAATATTGCGAAACAGAGCATGAATTATGAAATTAAGTACTGTACAACAAGGAAGTTAAAAAAAAAAATAACAGAAGCACAAATTTAAATTTGACATACTCCTTTTACATTTTTGACATAACCTACATTTCCCACGGCCTGTGTTTAGCAACAGCCTGGAAGCAGGACAGAATGAACTTACCTAAACCGTCGCCGCCAGAAAATGTTGCCGCGCCTGAACGCGTGTCATAATGACTATTGGCAAAAGATGAGAAGCTGCGTTGCAGACGGCGATGTCGCAGCACAAAGAAAGCCAACGCACCACAGAGTGCTGTCACAACCAGCATGACGGGTACCACCACACTGACGATGTTTCGAGGAGACAGCACGGCTTTCCAGGAACCTGAGATACAAATTGTCTTAGAGCTGCATCTTATGAAGACACTACAAACTAACAAATTTCTAAAATTTAAAAACTTAAAAAAGTTTTGATAATTACAAAATAAGAATTATGTTTTGAAAACTTACAACTCTCCTAAAGACATTTTTAAATATCTTGATACCCAAACATTTTCATTGAGAAAAGTGTCATAAGAATAATAATAAATCATAAAATATCTCCATTAAATTGGTATGTACTGCCAATTGCATATTAAGGCCAGAATTTTACGAATAGACGTAGTGTATAGAAAACAATTACATACAGCCTTCCAATAATCTATATCTATTGATAAGAACTTTAAAAAAAAAAACAATATAAAGTAATTGACATTATTAAATTCAGAAACATGTGTAAAAACTTCATGCTTACCCACTGGCATCTCAACAGAGCTCACTTCTGAGATCTGCGAACGGTACCCATCACTCGTCTCTAACTTGACAGCGAAAGAGTAGATGGCACCCTCCTGCACTTTGTCCAATATGAAAGGGGGGCCAGATGTAGTGTACTGTGCAGCTGTGCTTTCATTCAAGACAGATCCTTCAGATACGAGCACAATATACTGGAACCTTTAAAATAAACACCGTCAGGGTTTGACGTTAATCCCGTACCCAAACATGTATGAAATATGATTTTTCATGCCAAATGTTTCTTTACTGAATCATCTACAAACAACTAAGAATATAAAAACGATAGCAAGAAACTGAAAATGTGTTTCAAAATCTTCTGTTTAACAAGGAATAAAAACTCGAGCCTTCTAAATTTTACAGTTTATTTGTAGTACGAAATTCAAGGCAAATTTAGCGTTCATGACTTCCATTCAAAATTATTCTTACCGGTTATAACAGCAAGCAAAATAACGCGTTCAACCTACACAAATTGTAGAAATCAAGGACAACGTGATAATTGCAATTATAGAAAACTCACGTCGTATTGGCAATTGCAGCTGGAAGGCCCCTCTCTTTCCAGTACACTATGTAACTGCCATTACGTTCAGGTAGAACCTGAAGTTGGTGAGGGGGCTGAATGGGTGGTGCCAAATACTCGACAGCTTTCGTTGGAATGGCATCTTCACTGTATGTCTGCACTGTCACTCTATAATGACCTCCATAATGGACTGAAAACCAGTGGGACAGCTCAGTCATGGACGTGGACAACAACGTTACCGAATAACTGATATTTAAGTTCAGTTCTGTCACCGTTACCTGCAAACACACAAACGTCATAGCATATACAATTTAAATTAAAAACTTTCTGCCACCATCTCTCGTCGGTTTCCACTCTGTAAAAATTCTATTCTGGTGGCGAAAAGTCTAGGAAGACGAAAAAGGAGACGGGAGGATAACATTAAGATGAATCTTATGAAGTTGGACTGTGAGGCTGGGACATGAATAGATTGGTTCAGGATCATGTCTGTGACAGGCTATGGTAGAGCAGTGTTAAACTTTCATGTTCTGCTACTATATCGTTACTGAATATAAATTTGTAAAACTGCAGGTTGTAAAAAATTGTCAGAATCATACCATGTAAGAAACCTTGTCAGTCATTGCAGGACAGGAAGAGCGCCACTGGACGTGCATAATCGTCTCATTGTGAGGATCTCCAGTCACCATCAGATTCTTCGGCGCAGCATTCACATTGAACCTCGTAACCAAAGTTGACGGATTAGCCGATAACGGGCCCAGACCGAGGGGGCCAATCACTCCCACGGCAAAAATGTACGATTCACAAGCTTCCAAGTTTCCCACAGTTGCATTCAAAGCCTTTGTGCTAAGCTTGGGTCCTAAACGTAACAAAGTAAGACGTTAATTAATTGCATATAACAATAAAGCTAAGTGAACACTTATTTCAATAAGAAAAGAAAAGTTTCACATACAATTAAAATAATAAACATTGAAGTGATCCACTCTCCCCTTTTCAACAACAGTCGAAAGGGGGAGGAGGTGTTCAGTTCTATATGTTGTAGGTTCACTTGGCCCACACCCCTGAAAAGAGTGTACTCGAAACACAGCCAAGTACAATTGAAAATAAAACCATTAACTGTCTTAAAACAAATTATAATACATGCACATTACACGGGGTCATATATTGCCCTACTATGAACAAAGAAACTCACAAACAAACATACAAGAACAAACCAAAAAAATCACGACTTGGCTCGCTCTCGGCAACCCTCAAATTCGTCTCCCTGGCCTTGACCACCCCGAGGGACCGAGAATAACCGAAAATAACACGGTAGTTGCCCTGTCCACCAACACAACAAAATCAATACTTATCTGGACGGGCAACCACAACGTGAAAACAAAATACAAACCACGGTCACCTCGAAGTGGGGGCCCAGCCAGAGAGCGGTACCAACTGGATCCGTAGCTACGGCTTGAGTGAGTGTGTTCTGGCGAGAAGGGTTCAGCCCAAATCAGTCCCCCTCTCCTCAACCGGCTTAACCTCCCCACAAGCACGCGCAAAGTTTTCGAAGTTTTGCAGTCACATCATCAGAGCCGGATGTAGTCGGCTCAAAGGCTATAAAAAATTGCTATGTGTCGTTTCAAGTCTATAAAAAGTTACCTCAAATGAGGCTTTGCACATATTGCGTTATTTCGAGTCAGACGAGTTACCTCAAATGAGGCTTTGCACATAATGCGTTATTTCGAGTCCGACACAGGACACGAGTTATATCACTCTGAAGCTGAAATTTTCTTTACAAGCAACATACTTGAAAGGAGATCTGTTGTGTTGAGTGCGTAATAGATGCCATATTCCCATTCCTCTTTGTAGCTGTCATCCTTTGCGAGGTTCCAACGAAGTTTTACGGTTGTACCACTAGTCTTCAATAAATCTGCCACCAATCCTGAAACTTGGGGGAGTGGCTTGCCATCTGTTTTTACTGTGATGGATGCAGGTTGGCCTGTGAACGATTTCTTATAGGCTGACACTTCCATGATATAGACAGTTCCAGGAGCTAGATTTGATACTGCAACAAAGAATAGGATTTAAAAAAAAAACTGGTGTAAGAGTCATAATTAGATTCACATTTTAGAGTTCAAAATTACAAAGTGAATTGACCAAAGAAAAATAAATGATGCTGAGCTTCTAACTTCATATTCTTCACCTAGTATTGATAAACAGATCACCAAGAAGACCGAACACTCATGGGAGAATAATATTAAAACAGATTTTTAGAACTACGCTGTTGTGATTCAGGGTCAAGCAATTAACTGGGTCTTTTAATATTCCACTTCTTACAAAATTACACTATGAACATCAAATGTTTTGAATCAAAATCCAAGTATTATTACCTGTAATTTTGTTTATTTTTGTCGTATTCATCTCAAGGTTTGGATAAGGAGGCATGCTCTTAGGAACCACGTAGTATCCATCGGCTTTGTTCACTTTCTTCCACGTCAAACTCACACTGCGGTTGTCTTTGTGTTCCAGCCCCAATCCTTCGACAGCCTCAATAGCTGCGTCACCATCAAACGCCAAAGTCGCTACTGCTGAACTGTTACTGTCATGAGCTTCATTCCTTGCTATCACCTGTAACAGAACAGACAGTTTTTTTTGTGTGTCCAGTACGCACCATTCAGTATGGTGTGCATCGGTAGTTAGCAGGATTCACGACCCATCAGTACATGGGTTCGATCGGGACCGCGACATTTAACGCTCCTGCTGTAACCCCCTTTTTGCGAGATGATGATGAAAGTGGAGTAATTGTTGGGATGGCCATTTTTTTTCATCCCCATTACAGAAGGAAACAGATTCATAAACATTCTTCGGTAAACATTAGTTTTATGTGTACAGTCAATCTTGACTTCAGGTCACTTACCCAGAAAGAATATTTTCCATTAGCGACGTAGTCGCTGTTCACGGTGAAGCTGGTTTTGGAACCGCTTTGCAACTGCGAAACGGGTGGAATGGGTGGGGTCAGAAATATGACATAATTGACTATTTTTCCGTTGGGTGACCTCGGCGGCTGCCAATTCACAACAACTTGATGTGCGTTCAGCTGATTCACTGTTACATTCCATGGAGGTGATGGCACTGCACAAACCAAACACTTACATAAAAATGTTCCACCCCGTGTAAACAACCAAGACATCAAGAGTAAAAAATACACAAGACTGAAACAAAAGACTTCATTCATTTCTTCAACGGTTAAGAGGACCTTCACAATGCTCAAAAGTACATCACATAAACAAACATAAAGCTGTCACTGTCATCAGCATCACCAACCCCCCCCCCCCCCCCCTTTTCCAGATTATTAGGTTGTTATTTCGCCTATCTCATCGTTTTTAACACCAAATACGCTCCTGAATATTCTGGTCTCAAACAAATTCAATCTGTCAAAACCCCAAATCTTACAAATTCAATCACTTGTCAGTAAGTAACCACATTTCTGAATAGAACATCAGGTTCTCACAGCTGCAAGAATAAAGAAAGATCTGTTGCCATCACTGCCAAACAGTATAATTTTAAAATATCTATCAGCGATTCATATATTATGAGTCTGTCCTTCATTCCGTCTCTGATCTTTCACTCGGCTTTCAAACTCCACAACTGTGACAGATCCATCGCTATCATTTCCAACTCAAACATACTCACCGCCCTGGCCAGTTACAGCAGTGACATACTTCACAGGAGGGTACACCTGCGTCTCGCCTTTCATCCTCACATACACGGTCAAGTTATATGTAGTATATGGCTTCAGGCTAAAGAAGAGATACTCCATGCGATCTATCCACGTAGTATTTGTCCAGTTTGAATTCCTTTGATTAAATACTTCGGCATATGACGGAAGGAACTCGAGCGGTGCAGAAGAGTTGTGGATCCACCAGTACAAATGCAATGAAGATGAGTTTGATCCATAATCATCAACTCCCATCTGCGTTACCTGTAAACATGAAACGTTAAAACTAATAGCTGAGGGATATAAAATCAATAAAGACGAGACATACTGAATGTTTGGCATGGGGAAAAACAGCTAAACATGACATTTTGTAACTGAATGTTCAAGTTACATAAAAACAATGAATTTCTTGAACAAATAAGTACCAACTTCTCAAGGAAAATCAAGAAAATCCCTGCATCATGCGACTAGATAACAGACTAGAGCAATGCTCTGGGAATCAGCCCAATAACATACTAAAATCATTGTTACTGTCGTTATCTGTTTGCTTCATTTTACGTGTATCGACACCCGCGAGTCGTATTCAGGCTATAACACTCGTGGAATAGGCAGAAACATTTTATTTATACCTGGTAAATTCTGGTGCTGTTGTCACAATTGTTTTCATCAAAACCATCGTAACAGTCCTGATGCTTGTCGCACAGTCGAGCCAATGGGAAGCACTGACTCCCGTCACAACTGAAATGCCCTGGAGGACAACTAGTGGACGGACCTATAAAATGTACGACGTTAAAGAATATTTATTATGTTTCACACCAAACACCTTAGTTAAATGCCTTCCGCAAACTCAGCGTTTGAACATGGGGATAGTGAAGTGTCCTACAGCCGCACATGCTCAAACTACACCATTTAAAAAGACGTGGTTCGGGTAAATGAGTCAGAGCAGGATAGTACTTATATTTGTGCTGGGAAAATTCTGACATACGCAAAAACCTGCCCCCTAGCATAAAAGTTAGTCATGCTGCTGATGACTCGACAGTTATTATCGAACGACTGGTAGGATTTTCCATCTTTTCTGTTTAAACTTTTTAATTTATGGAACTTCGTCCTGATCACCATTCCTGCGGGAACTGCATTATACTCACTAGGAAGTGGATGACAAACAGATTCATCAGAGCCATCTGGACACTGAATTATTCCATCACAAGCTTGGGTTATAGGCATGCACGATCCATCCGCATGGCACATGAACGAATTGGGTCCACAATTTCTAGTGCTCTGACAGTTCTCCTCATCCTCACCATCTCTGCAATCTTTGGCTCCATCACATACCCACGAGGACAATATACACTTTCCTGAGAACATAATTACAATGAAAAAATTGTAGACAGAGAAATATCGAACAGGAGATTTACAATGTTAACAAAAATTTCAGAAATATAACTGACCGCTATAACAACGGAAATGGTTTTCACTGCACGTTACTGGAGTAGTAGGCGCAGTACTGGTTGAGGTACTGCTGGGATCAACGTCCTGTCCGCAGCCAAGTTCATCTGAACCATCACCACAGTCATTTACGCCGTCACACTTCCACCAGAAGGGGATGCAAACTTTGTTGGTACAACGGAACATCCACGAGTTACACGAGTTCTGAAACAGTTGCATCGTTTATCAGACTTCTTGGTCACGAAGACAGGCAAATTTTGTAGTAATATCTTATATACAAAGTTGAAATTGTTGGAAAATTTATTTTTGTTAATTCGTTTATAGATCAATAATAGATAAACCAGTGTTCACCAAATTTGGCGTGCTTATTCCTCGTCTGTTGCTCGGAAGCTATGAATAATACAAGAACCGTACAGAGAACAAATCTGATTTGGTGATGAGATTACAGGAACTGAGGTACAAACCTCAAAAACTCTTCAGCCAGAGTCTTGATGAATACGGGTTTGAGGATGATAATTACAATTTTTTATGATACTCAATGATATGTATCAATCATAAGGCCACATGATTTCTTATTCTATGAAGTGACAATGATGATATTTAAAAACAAATTTGGCTTACTACAAATTTAAAAAAAAAAAAAATATCAGTGGGTTCTGCTGCACTCACATTTGGCCACAAAACATGTGGAGTTGGTAAAGTTGGTGGCATAGTGGATGTACAGTTCTCCTCGTCTGAACCGGTTCGCCCAGGTTGGTCCTGACAGTCGTCATCTCCGTCACATCTCCAAGAACTATATATACAACGCTCATTCTTGCACTGAAAACCAAATTCGGAACTTTAGTTTCTATAATTATTAATTATTTAATTATTTATCTAATTCCCTTAAATCGTTTTACAGCAGTTGTATGTAAGAATTACTGAATTCAAAAACAGCATTAAGTATTGCTATAATTACTGTTTGTAACTTGATTTGTTCCCTGAATGCAGTGCACTTAGAAATGGGTATCATCTGAAGTCAGTAAAAAAAATATTTTTTTTTGGAATTTATTACACATGCCTAAAATTAACTTATTTCCTGGTTTATGTATAGATAATCAAGCTTATTCACCTGAAATTGCCAGAGATTACACGTCTTGTTCTTACAGTTCATTTCGTCTGACAAATCAGAACAATCACGTTCACCATCACACTGCCAAGAATTTGGTATGCACTGCTTGGAAGAAATGCACTGAAACTCTGCCACTATAAACACAAGAAATGAAGGGCAAATATTTTATTAATACAAAGTTTCAATGGCTTAATCAATAAGCATTCAAATTCCGGCAGAACTGGGAATTTTCTCTTCACCGCCACGTCAGGAATAGCTCTGGAATTCACTCACTCCCCTATCAAATTTGGTACCAGGCCCACTTTCAAATCAAGTTCATCGTCAGGCTCCCTGTTGCTGCTAGTTATATGGCCTGATCATCTGATCATGAACCCAACTGTTCATCCCCATCTACTGTCAATGGCCTGAAATAATAAACTTCTGCCTCCAGGCCATTCAAAGTGTGGATTAAAGCAAATGGGCAAATTTTATGTTCCCTTCTTCCACTCCAAGGTTGATTTGAGAATGATTTTGTGTCAAATATTATGACAAAAGAATTTTCCCACAACATAGCATCATGCACGCACAAATACGTACTATGCAGATGTGAATAATAAAATATGTGAACTGTGGCGGAAATTAAAATAAATAATTGTTAGAATATTCACAATATGACGCAATTACACTATTCTTAGATTTAATAATGGTGGGCGTGCACTTCACACTGTAATTTCTTAGATTTAATAATGGTGGGCGTGGAAGACTGTAGCTTTCTTGGTGACCGAACGCAACGTCTTCTGGGGAAATGAGCTGTGTGAGAACGGCATGGAAATCCAGTGTTTCCAGAACTGCCTTTGCCTCCACAATTAGAGTTGATGTTTTGGGGGGCATAACTGTACAGATCTCTCGGCCCCATGTCCTTGTCCACACAACTCCTTTATTACAACCCTAAATATGGAGGTAGTACATTCCTCCAAAACACTGACATACAAGACCATAAGGTGCAACAAAAATCAAATGGAGTCAAAACAGAAACATTCTGAGGTACTAAAACATCTCTGGGCTATGAAAAATACAGATATTATCAGAGGACAATTAGTTTACGATAATTTGCTGCAAGCGTTTCAGACTTGTTACTTACGTGTGCAACGAGCGGGAGGTGTCGGACTTGGACAATTGATTTCATCCGATCTATCCTTGCAGTCATCCTCCCCATCACAGAGCCAACGTCGCGATATGCACTGCCCATTATTACAACGAAATTCTTCAACAGTGCAATTCTGATGTGCTACAACACATAATACTTAGTCTTAAACAGTACATACGATTAAGTGCATATTATATTAACTTAAATCACTTTTACATCTCACTAATATCAAAATCTCAATTAAGCCCATACTCTAAAAAAATATCTCTGATGCTTCACTTTTCCGTCAAAGTTTGTCTGATTTTACGATCCACTGGACTTGTGGAGGCACCTCAGATGGCAAGAAAAAAAACATTGAACTGCGTTATACGACCATGGCCAAAAAAACCATTATATTATCTATTATATACTCACAGCATCCTTCTTCATCGCTGCCATCAGAGCAATCACGTTCAAAATTACAGAGCCAGTAAGGTGGGATGCATTTTCCATCCTTGCACGTAAACATGTTGGGCTCGCACGTCGTGTGAACACACCCCACTTCATCCGACCCGTCGGCACAGTCATCTTCTCCGTCACATTTCCACAGCTCCGGTATACACACTCCATTATTGCAGGAAAAGTAATCTGATGAACAGGTACTATTTGCTGAAATCAGTAAGATGACCAAAATTGAACAAAGGTATAAATAAGAACCC